GGATTGTTTCAGTGACTGGGGTACTCGGGATGGGTTTGTCAGAGGCAATGAGATTGGCACAGGAGAGAGCAGCGTTTAGGGCTGTTGTACATAGGATCGCTATGAGTCGCAAACGACTCGACGGCACATAACAACAACAACAACAATATTTTTTACAGTCTACAGGTTCTCCTTTTCACTTTTTTGCACAAGTACTTTGATGCACATAAAGATTTAATTTTTAGGAAAACCCAGTGGTCTAGTTTATCCTCTGCTAATTATGCATTTTCAGTAATATTCATGATGAGCAGTAATTTAAAGCCCAAATTTCTGGCTGCTCTAGGCCAACAGATTCACAGTCTCCACACAAAGCCAACATAGTTTTGATAACCGCCCTGGTCTCAAAGTCACTGCTGTAGATTTCTCAGTATCCTGTTTAAGGATAGCACTTTCATTGATTTGGTTGACATGCTGTTTCGAAGGAGGATAACTGTATTAAAAAAAAGGGAAGAGAAAGTATTTGAAGTCTTTATGTATGTATCACATGTTGTTGTCACTGTGTACTGTTAGGTGGGAACCACTCATGGCTGACCCTCCAGCAGGTCTTCAGGGGAAGTTAATCTCATGGGAGGAGACTGCCCATTCTTCTCCCATGGAACAGTAGGTGGATTTGAGCTGCATGCCTTTGGAATTGCAGTGCATCTCCTTTTTAATAGGCCATCAGAACTCCCTAAATATCTATTTATCTACAAGACCTAATTCTTGGACAGGCTTAAAGAACTCTGGAGCATGGGCTCTAACCTAGGCTGAGGCCAGAGGTGCAACTACCCTTGGGGTGAACACGTCACAGCAGGGCTACTCGTGGTGTGCTCACCTTACCTCCCATAAAAGAGAAGATCATAGACTAGGACATCCCTGTGTGCCACTCTCTGCACCTAGCCACCTGGATCCCAAGCATGCACCAGCATGCTACTCTATCCAACTGCATGGCTATGTCTCTCAAGACTCAGCAAAGCCACCTGCCAGATTCAGCTGACAAGCTCACTCACAGTTCATCCAGGCAGTCCTCTGGCTGCTTCAGGCGGTGGCCATGGAGGAGGTAGTCATAAATCTCATGGTTCTGGACTCCAGGGTAGGGAGTCATCCCCCGCGTCGCTATTTCCCACATTGTTACGCCAAATGCCCACTAAGAACAAAAACAACAAGTTAGGATGTCAGTCTTTCTGGAGAGGAATTTTTCATTATAAAAGTCCATTGAATGGACTTTTAACTCCCACCAAATGCTGCAGTGAGACTACCCAAATAAGGTGTTTATAGCCCACCAAGAGAACTAGGCAGCTTGTTGATAATGCCAGGCACAAAGAATCCTAACAAGCGGATTGGCCAGTTTTGCCATCCTGCTAGGCTTAAAAGAGCTATCCCAGCGCGCCGCCGGGAGCGGTGGTACGAGAGCTGGAAAAAAAAAAAAAAGAACTATCCCAGGAGCAGACAGGCAGAGGGGAACTCACTACTACCAGGAAAGGAGAGCTCAACACAGACCTGTGGACCCTGGTTCCTATGCTGGGACTTTCTAGATGTAGGAGGAAGAGAACTGTAATACTAGAGAAGATGGAAGACAATAAGAAGTAGCAGTATGCACACAGAGAATAGTGAAGCAGAACCAGGAGACTGGCAAGAGACGGTACAGTGGGCTTGTGAGACAGACTGAAAGAATGGAACACCTTCACGATGAGGCTTACTGGTGGAGTAAGTGTCCTTGGGCACTTAAAAAGAGCTTTGTGATAGCTGTCCAAGAAAGCTCTGAGGAGGGTCCAACAGCAGAGGACAAGAAACTATATACGTGTATTGCAACTCATTTCTGAACCTGAATTGTAACCTATCTCCCCAAGCCAAAATCCCAATGTCATCAAGTTGGCACCAACTCATGTTTCGGAGGCTATAAATATTTACTTTATATGTAGAATACTAGTAGATTAGAACCAGTGACCAAATACTTAAAGAACTATGCCACCAGGGGCTCCTTAAACTAGAACCTAATAAACCCCACAATCATGAGCATGGTCTCTGAGTCTGTGTGGCCACTGCAATCAATTATTGGACCTTTTCAAGCTATATGCAGAACAGATTATCCGGGAGACTGGGCTCTATGAGGAGAAATGTGGGGTCAAGATTGATGGACAATTTATCAACAATCTGCGTTATGCAGATGACACAATCCTATTTGCTGAAACAGAAGAGGACCTGAAGCGCCTGCTGCAGAGTGTCAAGGACTGCTTCCTACAATATGGATTGAGGCTCAATGTCAAGAAGACAAAGATTCTCACCACTGGACCAATTGGCAGCATTAGGATGGATGGTGAAGAGATTGAGATAGTTCACAGCTTTAGTTTGCTTGGCTCCACAGTCAACAGTCTTGGCACCAGCAGCCAGGAAATTAAAAGGCGCATTGCCATGGGAAAGGCTGCTGTTAGGGACCTCTCCAAAGTACTGAAGAACAATGGTGTCTCTCTGGAGACTAAGGTGCATCTGATACAGGCCATGGTCTTCGCAATCACTTTTATGCATCAGAGAGTTGGACAATGACCAAGGAGGATAGAAGGAGAATTGATGCCTTTGAGCTGTGGTGCTGGAGAAGAGTATTGAGAATACCATGGACTGCTAGGAAAATAAACAGATTTGCCCTGGAAAGGGTTAAACCAGGTGGCTCCTTGGAGGCAAGGATTCTGAGGCTCCGTCTAACATACTTTGGACATGTTGTAAGGAGAGACCAGTCCTTGGAGAAGGACATCATGCTTGGGAGGGTGGAGGGACAGCACAGGAGAGGAAGGCCCTCTATGAGGTGGATTGATTCAGTGACTGGGATAATTGGGATGGGAGTGTCAGAGACAATGTGATTGGCACAGGACAGAGCAGAGTTTAGGGCTGTTGTACATAGGGTCGCTATGAGTTGCAAGCGACTCGACGGCACATAACAACAACAACAACAGCAGAAAAATAGCCAGAGAAAGGATGAGTGGTGTGTCAGAATCAGAGAGGGGAAGTTTTTCTGACTTTTCTTTCATAGGAATCGGCCCTAGGCTGTTGTCATGATTCTCCTTCCCTTTCGTTAAGTTTGAGGTCAGATGTCCCATCAGATGCCATTTTTACATAGTTCCCATTTTTAATAAAGTTGTCTGGGCAATTTGGCAAATGCAGACATAAGTCTCACGTAATACTCAGCTTGGTGCTGTGTTCTATTCTTTCCTAAAGTGTTTTCTTTCCCACGTCTCTAGACAAGGCTACACTCTCACAGCACCTTGGCCCTACAGCCACTGGATGAAGTCAATGAATTGAATATCTTAGTTGTGACCAATAAGTAACCACATTGTTGTAAAGAAAATGGGGATAAACTAAGGTCTCATGCAAAACACAGATCTTCTGAACAAAGGACCATTTATCAGAATGTAGGAGACCTAGGGTGAAAGGGCATTGGATTAAGTACAGTGGATCAAGCGCTAGGCTGATAAAAAACAGATCAGAGTTGGAATCCATGGATGCTCCATCGAAGAAAGATGAGGCAGTTGGCTTCCATATTTATGGTGTTGGACACCCCAAGGGATGGTTCTACTCTATCCTGTAGGGTCCCTGTAGGGTTGTTCATGAGTCAGAATCAACTAAACAGCAAAGGACTATTTTCTAGCATTCCACTTGAATTTTTATATCGAGGCCCTGGACAGTCTAAAAGAGTTAATGCATTCAGCTACAGATGAAAAGGCTGGAGGCTGGTGTCCCCCCAAGAGGAGCTTCTGAAGAGAGTCCTGATGACCTCCTTATTGACAAATAAATCACTGAGCTCAATGGAGCTGGAGTTGCCAGTCAGAACTGACTTGAACTCAGTTGGTTTGGTTTTTCAGTAATAAGTAAAAAAGTCTGAGTGTGACCCTTGAGCCTCGGTTTATTCAAGGATAAAATGTCTTGTGGCATCAAGGTAAGTCATTTCATTTTAATGGGACGGCCTTGAATCAAAACCACACACTTACCACATCACTTTTACTTGTGTAGACGCGATCGGCCAGGCTCTCTATGGCGATCCACTTGACGGGCATCTTAGCAATGCGGCCTTGGCGGTAGTAATCTCCACTGTAAATCTTCTTGGAGAGGCCAAAGTCTGCAACACAGACAGTCATGTCGTCTCGCAACCTGTGGAGAGGAAGTTCATGTCCTCAGCAACCTCAGGAACAAAGCTTGCCTCCAAGTGCCACTGTGAACTCGCATACTGGTGAGCACAAAAAGGTGTAGGACAAACAAAGGGCGGCACTTGCCTAAAATACAGAAGATAGGAAGGAAGGGCAAATGGAAATGGGAAACATAGGGAGAAGATAGGGAAAGTGCTGTTACAGCAAAGACTAACATTAAATGCACAAAGAAAAATGTGTGTGAATAGTTGCATGGAAAACACATGTGCTCCATAAACTTTCACCCAAATCACAGCAAAACACTGAGGTTGAGGGAGATCTAAAATGGTCCAGGGTAATGTGAGGAAGCTCTGGTGGCCTGCTACTAAGAAGCTGCACTGCAATCCCAAATGCTAATTCACTCAGGAGAATGACGAGCTATGTCCTCCTGTGTGATTAACTCTCTGAAGCCTGCCAGAGGGTCAGCTATGGGTCACTTCCAACTGGATGGTACACAGCAACATCATCAGACTAATGTGTCTTTATTTGCTCAACACCTACTCTTAATATTGAAAGCCTTGAAACCTCACTCCTAGACAAATTGGATACCTGATCACCATACCGGAAAAGAAAACATGAAGGAAGCAACATGGGAAAAAAGTTCCCAGAAGCCTTCCCCTCCAGCCTAAAGCAAGTAAAACAAAACAAAGTCCCTTTCCTGTTTTTAAAAAGAGAGCTGGAAAGGGCAAAGCTCAGTTTGGAGGTGAGTTAGGAAGAATAAAGTTACAGGCCCGAAAAAGAACCATAACACATTGGAAAAACACTCTCTTCTTGCAATGTTGTTGTTGTGAGGTGCGGCTGAGTTGACTCTGACTCCCAGGGACCACTTGTATAGCATCAGAAAGATTTCTTATAATCACAAACTTAAAAACAAGAATTATTTACTGATTTTTGCAGTTCAAATCCACCAGATGCTCTGCTAGAGAAGGAGAGGCAATCTACTCCTTTGTCAGTCAGATCCAATTAGACAGTTACAAAAAAAAAGAAAAAAATAATTACTTATATTTAAAGATTGACAACTGATAGCAGTCATGCCAAAGAATGTTGAAGAAACAGGGAGTGTTTCCATCCAAAGTTATCATACAGCACTTGTCTCTGTTGTGAAAGTCTCATTTAAAATGTACAACTCAAGAGTCAATTATGTTTAGGGTTTAGAGAAAAAATCTTTACGTTTTTCTTTACTTCACATGACTAGCTGACTCATAATTCTGGATCCGAAGCAAGCTGATGGCAATGCAGAAAGATCAGACATAGCTGAACAAAAGCTTGTAAACAGGAAAAACTTCAGAGGCCAATCAGATCCACAGAAGCTGAGACAGTGAAGCAAAAACACCATTCATACACTGACCCCAAACCCACTGTGTCCAGTCAGCTCAGCCCCTAGCCCCTCCACTGAACTTCCAGGGCTGGACATCTTCATAGAAGAAGGCCCATCTGCCTCCCTCCTGGTTACCAGAGTCATACAGAAACCCCACCTCCAGCGTCAGTTCTCTAGTTTCCTCACAAAGCTGGCTCTCCTCCACATTTCAACACCACTTGTCATCTTCTGTCCCTCTCAAATCCATAAAGATCAAATCCCCAAAGGCCCAACTTTTCCAGAATGGGCCAGATCCTTACATGCAGTTCCGTGCAGCTAAGTCTCGATGAAGAAAATTTCTGTTGCTCAGATACTCCATTCCCAAGGCAATGTCCACCATGAACTTCAATAGTGTCTGCAAGGGGATGTGCTGGGATGGAGGAAACAAAGAAAAAGACCAGTTTTAATATGGAGAAACTGGCAGGTTTTTAACATCTAGAGGAGAAACTGTGTTTTTTACGTCTTAAAAGTTCATCAGTGAAATGAGAAAATAAGCCTTTCATTTCCATGTTAGTAATCACAAACAGGAGCTTTGGTAGCACAAGTGCTTGACTGTTAACCAAAGGTTGGTGGTTCAAGCGTATCAGGTACTTCAGGTGAGACAAGGCCTGGGGGCTTGTGCCATAGAGATTATAGCTTGAGGAATCTTGCAGGGCATCCTATTCTAGCCTATAGTACTGGTACAAGGCAGAACTGATGTGATGGCATAAGCAACAATAGTACGAATCAATCTTAGAAGAAATACAACCAGAATGTGCCTTAGAAGTAAGGATGGTAAAATTTTGGCTTGTTTACTTGCTCATAACAACTGGAAAGACCAATTGCTAGGAAAGGACATTATATTAAAAGGTCATCGGAAAGGAGAAAAGCCTTTGTTAAGATAGATTGACATGAAAGCCTCAAAAATTGATCAGACGCACCCAGACGATGAAGATGACAAAGGCTGAAGCAATATTTTACAATAAATCTGATACATTACAGAGTCAACTTAATGGCAACTAATAAAGCAGTGCAAGAAAAACATTCAGACAGAAATTAAAAGCAAACAAATAGCAACAGAAGCCCAAGACTAATATTTCTTGGAATGTATCATAATCTTCACCCCATTTGCAAAAGCCTTTCCCATAAATAACACTCTTAGTTTCTTAAATTTTTCCCACTCAATATATTTTGGGGAACTCTGGGTTCTTAATGCTAAGGAATTGTGATACCAAAGCAAAAGGTACATGACTTGGGAGAATTTACTGCCTCTGAAAAGTTACTGGAGGGTCAGCTATGGGTCAGTGTAGGAGGCTGCTCAAAGGCAGGCAGTTCAAATCCACCAGGTGCTCTAGGGAGGAAGAAGGGCAATCTCCCCTTGTGTGATTTATAGTTTCTGAAAAGACCCTGACAGGTCAGCCAAGAGTCAGTTTTGACTAGACAGCAGACAGCAGTAACATCTGTTATGTACACATGTATACACATGCTATTGTTGTTATGTTCTATGGAGTTAAAAGGACTCAGAGCTGACACCCCAGAGAATGTTCAGAGACTGTAAATTTCACAGGACGAGACTGCCCATCTTTCTCCTGTGTAGCAGCTGATGTATTTGAACCACCTGCCTCTGGGTTGACAGCAAAACAATAACATGTTATGAAGTCGAATGTGATCCCCTGTATCCGAGTGGACACTGGACACAACACACACAAAGAAAGAGGGGTGGAACAGTCAATGTTTTAGAAGCAAAAAGCTCAATAGGACCTGTTTTAAAGTATGCATCTACATTTGCCAATCTGCTCTTACTTGCCTTGAAATGTTTTGAAAATACCATTTTCTTCTTCTAGACTGAAAACTAAATTCATTTTTACCTTCTATCATAGTAGTGAAGCAATGCAAGTATTCAGAAATAATTTTCATTTTTGTTTTCCTGTGCCCCTTTTGTGAATTTCAATAGTCTAATGTTTTGTGTTATAAAAATCAAACTGCACTGCTATGTTAGAAAACTTACTGATACCCACTCTCTTCTAAAAGTTTTCTAACTCAGCAATTATGGAGATGATGATTAAATGAAGAACTCTGTTTAGTAACCAAACGTTCCTGTGCAGCCACAGTCCTGGAGAAGGGTTTACCACAAGTTCTCGGCACTCACAAAAAGACTTGCAATCCCCAGGCCACAGGGCTGTCATGACTTGCTCTCCACAGAATGTGAATTTCTGAAATAGTACTCAAGAACACATTGCATTTTATAATTTCTAGTTGCCAGCTGAGACACAAGCTTATCACACACTGTGCATAAACTGAAATGTAATACTTATCTTTTACCATTACATAGAGATTTTTTTCATTTTAATTAAGATTTTATTGTAAGTTTATAAAGAATTTGGATTTCCATTCATTCACTGTTGCACATTTTCTTCACTGTCCCCCACCTATCCCCCAGTTTGCTTTTTTCTTTAGAAAAAAGTTCTTTGATTATTATACAGTCCCACCTACAGAACCAATTTACAATGCAGCTCTTATTCTAGACTCTTGTTACACCAATAAGACCTAATCATATATTCCTTTTATACAGTTCCCTCCCTTGTCATGCCATGTACATTATTTATCCCCTTTTTTCTTAGTTTCCCCTCAACTCCCCCGTCAGTCCTTTTTTATAACAATGACATTATACAATATTTGTCTTTTTGTGACTGAGATATTTCACTCAGCATAATGTCCTCAGGGCCATCCATTTTTTATAATATTTCATGAGTTATTTGTTTTACAGTGCTGGATAATATTCCACTGTGTGAATGTACCACAGCTTTTCTATCCATTCATTTGGTGATGGGCACTTAGGTTGTTTCCGGCTCTTTGTTATTGTGAACAAAGCAGCAATAAACATTGTGAACAAAGCAGCAATAAACATGGGTGTGCATATATCTGCTTGAATGGCAGGTATGGTTTCTTTAGGGTATATTCCCAGTAGTGGAATTGCTGGGTCAAATGGTATTTCTACCTCCAACTTTTTGAGGAAGCGCCAGACTGCCTTAACATGGTAGACATGGAAAGCAGAGTAGTGGTTCCTAAGGTGGGAGACATCACCAATGGTGAAGACTCATTAACAACCTGAGATACACAAAAGACACAACCTTGCTTGTAGAAAGTAAAGATATGATGCAGGGCAAAGAAACTGAAGTGGTGAAGAATTCACTTGATGAATAACCAGTGTCTATAGAGGCAGAGTGATAGGCATATTGTAATAAGCAAATAGGCTGCAAAGAATTCGCAAGTGTGTCATTTTGATGACTAAGGTACATTTGACCTTTTCAGTCATCTCATATGCATACAGAAGCTGGGCAGTGATAAAGGAAGACTGAAGAGCTGACTCATCTGCATTGTGGTGCTGAAGAAGAATACTGAGTAGACAATGGACTGCCTGAAAAATGAACAAGTCTATCTTGGGGAAGTACAGCCAGATTGAGGTTCCTTACAAGTGAGAATGAGACTTTGGCTCATCTACTTCAAATATTTCATCAGGAATTCCTAGAAAAGCACATCATGTTTGGTCAAAAAGAGGTTCAGAAAAAATAATTCAGGGAAACTTTCCATGAGATGGGTTAACGCAGTAACTTAACACATACATGTGACTGAGAGGATGGCCCAGGTCCATTAGGTTGCTGTGAGTTACAGCCAACACTACAGCAACTACTAACAACATGTTTTAGCATGGGATATGGGAGGAGAGATAGGTGTGACTGATAAGGTGAATACTAGCAGATTAGACACGTAGGGGGTTGGGGGGAAGGAATCAAGACTACAGCAACCAAACTGGCCCTGGAAGGAAATCTTAGCCAACCAATGCTGAGAGGAATAAGAGAAATGGTACAAAAAGTGGCTTGTGTGATTTCACACATGCGCAAAGCATGGGAATACCTAGTAGTAATAACATATTAATAAAATAAGTTGGTGGGTTTTGACCTCCTTAGAGAGTCAGTCCTTAGAGACTGAATTATTGGGGAAAGTTATATAAGATTCGGATCTGGAAGCAAATAACTTATAATTAGACATTACCTCATGCTGTAGAGACCATTTATTGAGAGAGAAAAAATAAGTATCAAACCTCCGACAAAAGAAAAGCCCTCTCCTTATTCTAGAAGAGCAGCTGTGTTCTCCCTTAGAGGACATCTGCACTTGTTGCATAAACTGGCTGCCTTGCTAGCATCTATAAATTGTGCCCACTAGTCCCTTAGAGGATGTTTCATAAACTCGCTGCCCTCCTAACACAAGAAATTATGCCCACTGGTCCTGTTCTTAAGAGTCTGTGCTTTGATGAATTTACCACCTTGCTGATGCCTATAAATCGTTCTCACTCTTCATTGCTTTCTCTCTCATCCTATCTCCTAAGTGGCATCTCTAATTCTTTAGGGAGGAGTGAGATCAGCCAAGGCAAGCCAAGGTCCAAAGACTTTCTCTCATGTAACAGGAGCAGGATTTCTTTTATGAGGTGATGAAAATGTTCCAAAACTGACTGTGTGTGGTGAACACTAAAATGGATGAATTGTAATGATATGTCAGTGTTATCTCAAAAAAGTTGCCCTTCAAACACCAAAAGTGCACTGCTCTGGGTGATACAAGAATTTAACTCACATAGGTACACAGATAAAGAGGCGTGCAAGCAAGCACACACACACATATGGAAAAGGCAGACTTTTCTACTTTCTATCTAAAGGTTGCTGTGTCAGAATGTGATGTCTGAAGCCTTGCTTTCATTTTACAGCTACATGAGGCAACAATTGAAAGGGAATATACAGAAAGGAAAAATACAGACACTAGTTGGTGCTGCTGGTGGGAAAATAAAGTGGTACAACTGTACTGAGAAATAGTTTGGGAATTTCTTAAGAAACTAAATATCCAACTACCAGTGGCCCAGCAACTACACTCAAATCATTTATGTCAGAGAAATGAAAATAGGTTCTCATACAAAAATATAGAAATGTTCAGAGTAGCTTTATTGCAACAGCCCCAAAATGGCATTGGTTCAATGTCCTTTAATAGCTGAGTAGCTAAACTGTGATCCAGTGAAAGCCTACAGGAAGGAATAAACCACAGATAAGGGAACAGCCTAGATGCAACTCAGAAGTGGACCATCAGGTAGAAAAAGACAAAAATAAAAGGTTATGTTCTTTGTGATTCTATTCAAACAACATTCTCATAAAATCAGAACTACAGTGATGGAGAACAAACTGGTGGCTATCAGTCATTAGCATGTGGGGAGGGTGTGGTTATAATGAAGAAGCTGGAGGGAGCATCTTGGAGTAGATGAAATTGTTCTGTGTCCTGATTATGGTAGGAGGTACATGAATTTATGCATGTGTTAAAAATCAAATAACTACATACTAAAAAAGGGTA